TAATCACCCTAGGCTCTTATCATGAGCTGCCAAGGCTATGGAAGCCCCCTGAGTTCACCAACTCTGATCATATTTAGAGAAGGCCATGGTCAAAGTGGAAGTTCTCTCCTCCCTTCAGAGAAAGGTACCTCCTTCTTTGATGACCCATTCTTTCCACTAGGATCTCACTCGCGGAGATCTTTCATTTACGATTATATCTATCTGCTCAATCGAGTCTATTTTATCGCCAGAGTGTCTTGGCTTTCCATGCCTGAAATACTCTCAGGGACCTTTCAGCTGGATCTGCATGCCTTTAGGGCTGATTCTGAGGCCAGAGTGCTGTTTAGGACACCTGCCATTCTATGGGTCTGCTGTGTATCTCAGTTCCCATGTTGGATCATTCTCTCCCTTTTTTATTCTATCAGCTAGTATTTGCAGACACTATTCTTATTTATGTTATCCCTTTGGTTCTTAGTCCTATCATTATGATCAATTGTGAACAGAAATTGATCACTTGGACTAGTGAGATGGCATTGGACATGCCACCTTGATGAGATTTTGGCTACTCTGACAAACGCTTGCTTGTATTGTGTCAGAATACAAAATTTGGGGAGGAAGAAGGCAAAATGAACTCAGAACCAGAAAACATTTAGGAAATTGCCGCTCAGGAAACCACAAATTGGTGGAGGCACCCAAAACAGTGACAGCAAGCTTGATTTAGTCCCAAGGAAACGGGCTGTTTCCAGATTCATCCACCCCTCCCAGCTGACAGGCTGTGGAATTCTGATTGAATTAACCTGAAAATCACAGTCAAACTCGATTTGCAGGCAATTAATATCTGTCCCTTCAGCAAAAGTGTCCCAATTCTTTTTCTAAAACAGAAAAACTCATCTTTTTGGTGTTGCCTGTAGATTTTTAAGCTTGAAAGGTGAATTTGTTGTGTTTTTTTAAATTTATTTCATAATGGCTTCTCTGCCAAATGCTTGTTTGTATTGTGTCAGAATACAAAATTTGGGAAGGAAGAAGGCAAAACCAACTCAGACCCCGAAAACTTTTAGGAAATTGCTGCTCAAAAACCAAAAATCGGCGGAGGCACCCAAAACTATGACAGAAATCCAGAATTGGAGCAAGCCAACAGCTGTGCCTAACTGAAAAAGACCATTCCTCCCATGCCATAAACTCGTTATGGCAGCCTCAAAACCAAAGCTCACATCAGAAAATTCATTACAAACCATGATAAATAAGGAAAATGTGAAAAAGTCAAAGAAATCCAAGAGTCCTTAGTGATATTATGCTTGATTAGTCACAAGGAAACTGGCTGTTTCCGGAGTCATCCACCCCTCCCAGCTGACTGGCTGTGGAAAACTGATTGAATTCACCTGAAAATCGCAGTCAAACTCGATTTGGAGGGAGTTAATGTCTGCCCCTCAGCAGAAAGGTTCCCTTTCATTTTGCAAAACACAAAAACTCATCTTGGTCTTGTTGCCTGTAGATTTCTAATCTTGAAAGGCCAATTTATTGTGTTTTTTTATTTCATAATGGCTATTCTTTCCAAATTCTTATTTGTATTGCATCAGAATACAAAATTTGGGAAGGAAGAAGGCTAACCAACTCAGACCCAGAAAACATGTAGGAAATTTCCGCTCAAGAATCCAAAAATCAGCTGAAGCACCCAAAGCAATGACAGAAAGCAAGAATTGGAGCAAGCCAACAGCTGTGCCCTGATTGAAATAGATCATTCCTCATGTGCCCTGAACTCCATATTCCAGCCTGAAAATAAAGCTCACATCATAAATTCATTACAACCCATGATAAATAAGGAATCTGTGAAAAAAGCCGAAGAAATGCAACAGTACTTTGTGATATTGAGCTTGATTGAGTCACAGGTTAACCAGCTGTTTCTGGATTCATCCACCCCTCCCAGCTGATTGGCTGTGGAATTCTGATTGATTCACCAGAAAATCACACTCACACTCGATTTGGAGGGAATTAATATCTGTCCCCTCAGCAAAAGGGTTCCATTTTATTTTCTGAAGCACAAAAACTCATCTTGTTCGGATTGCCTGTAGATTTCTCAGCATGAAACTCAATTTGTTTTTTTTTTTTATTTTGTAATGGCTACTCTGTCTGAACTCTTGTTTGTATTGTGTCAGATTACAGAATTTGGGAAAGAAGAAGGGAAAAGCAACTCAGACCCAGAAAACATTGAGAAATTGCCACTCAAGAATCCAAAATCAGCTGAAGCACCCAAAGCAATGACAGAAAGCCAGAATTGGAGCTGCCAACAGCTGTGCCCTGATTCAAAATGCCCATTCCTCCCATGCCCTGAACTCCATATTATAGCCTCAAAACCAAAGCTCACATCAGAAAATTCATTACAAACCATGATGATTAAGAAAAGTTTTAAAAAGCCAAAGAAATGCAAGAGTCCTTTGTGATATTGGTTGTGATTTCTTCAAAGGAAACGGGCTGTTTCTGGATTCATCCACCCCTCCCAGCTGACTGGCTGTGGAATTCTGATTGAATTCACTTGAAAATGGCACTCAAACTCGATTTGGAGGGAGTTCATATCTGTCCCCTCAGCAAAAGTGTTCCATTCCATTTCACAAAACACAAAAACTCATCTTGGTCGTATTGCCTCTAAATTTCTAAGCATGAAATGACAATTTGCTTTTTTTTTATATTGTAATGGCTAGTCTGTCTGAACTCTTGTTTGTATTGTATCAGAATACTAAATTTGGTAAAGAAGAAGGCAAACAAACTCATACTCAAAGAACATTTAGGAAATTGCCGCTCAACAAACCCAAAATCGGCTGAGGCACCAAAAACAATCCCAGAAAGCCAGAATTGTAGCTGCCAACAGCTGTGCACTGATTGAAAAAGACCATTCCTCCCATGCTCTGAACTCCATATTGCAGCCTCAAAACCAAAGCTCACATCAGAAAATTCATTACAAACCATGATAAATAAGGAAAATGTGAAAAAAGCCAAAGAAATGCAAGAGTCCTTAGTGATATTGGGCTTGATTTAGTCACAACAAAACTGGCTGTTTCCAGATTCATTCACACCTCCCAGCTGACTGGCTGTGGAATTCCGGTAGAATAAACCAGAATATCGCACTCACACTCGATTTGGAGGGAATTAATATCAGTCCCGTCAGCAAAGGGGTTCCATGTCCTTATCCAAAACACAAAAACTCATCTTTGTCATGTTGCCTGTAGATTTCTAAGTATGAAACATCAGGTTTTTTTTTTTATTATTTCATAATGGCTACTCTGTCTGAACTCGTGTTTGTATTGTGTCAGAATACAAAATTTGGGATGGAAGAAGGCTAACCAACTCAGACCCAGAAAACATTTAGGAAAATGCCACTCAAGAAACCAAAAATCGGCTGAGGCATCCAAAGCAATGACAGAAAGCCAGAATTGGAACAAGCCAACAGCTGTGCCCTGATTGAAAAAGACCATTGCTCCCATGCCCTAAATTCCTTATTCCAGCCTCAAAACCAAAGCTCACATCAGAAAATTAAGAAAAGTGTGAAAAAGCCAAAGAAATGCAAGAGTCCTTATTGATATTGGGCTTGATTTAGTCCCAAAGAAAGCAGGTTTTCCATATTCATCCACCCCTCCCCGCTGACTGGCTGTGGAATTCTGATTGAATTCACCTGAAAATTGCACTAACACTCGATTTGCAGGGAACTAATATCTGTCCCCTCAGCAAAAGTGTCCTATTTCTTTTTCCAAAGCACAAAAACTTATCTTGGTCGTCCTGCCTGTAAATTTCTAATAATGAAAGGCCAACTTGTTGTGTTTTTAATTTCATAATGGCTACTCTGTGTGAACTCTTGTTGTATTGTTTCAGAATAGAAAATTTGGGAAGGAAGAGGGAAACCAACTCAGACCAAAAAAACATTTAGGAAATTGCCACTTAAGAAACCACAAATTGGCTGTGGCACCCAAAAAATGACAGAAAGCCAGAATTGGAGCAAGCCAACAGCTGTGCCTGGATTGAAAAAGACCATTCCTTCCATGCCCTGAACTCCATATGCCAGACTGAAAACCAAAGCTCACATCAGAAGATTCATTACAAACCATGATAAATAAGAAAAATGTGAAAAAATCCAAAGAAATGGAAGAGTCCTTAGTGATATTGGGCTTGATTTAGTCCCATGTAAACCAGCTGTTTCTGGATTCATCCACCCCTCCCAGATAACTGGGGACTATGGAAAACTGATTGAATTCACCTGAAAATCGCAGTCAAACTCTATTTGGAGGGAATTAATATCTGTCCCCTCAGCAAAAGGGTTCCATTTCTTTTTTTTAACTTTTATTTATTGAATATAGATTTCCAAAGTACAGCTTATGGACTTCATTGGCTTCCTTGGAGGAATTCCCTCCCACCTGCAACCCTCCTCTTTCCCGCTCTCTCTCCCCTTTCATTCATATCAATATTCATTTTTAATTATATATATATATACAGAACATCAGTTTAGTGTACATTAAGTAAAGATTTCAACAGTTTCCACCCACGTAGAAACACAAAGTGAAATATACTGTTTGAGTAATCATTATAGCATTAAATCTCAATGTACAGCACATTAAGGACAGAAATCTTACATGAGGAGAAAGTGCACAGTGACTCCTGTTGTTGACTTTACAAATTGACACTCCTGTTTATGGCATCAGTAATCTCCCTATGCTTCAGTCATGAGTCCTTAGTGATATTGGGCTGGCTTTAGTCACAAGGAAACCGTCTGTTTTTGGATTCATCCACCCCTCCCCACTGACTGGCTATGGAATTCTGCTTGAATCCACCTGAAATTCGCACTCACACTCGATTTGGAGGGAATTAATATCTGTCCCCTCAGCAAAAGGGTTCCATTTTATTTTCCAAAACACAAAAACTCATCTTGGTCATGGTGCCTGTAGATTTCCAAATTTGAAAAGCCAATATGTTTTATTTATTTTATTTCATAATGGCTACTCTGTCTGAACTCTTGTTTGTACTGTGTCAAATTACAGAATTTGGGAACGAAGAAGGCAAAACCAACTCAGACCCAGAAAACATTAAAAAAATTGCCGCTCAAAAAACCACAAATTGGCTCAGGCACCCAAAACAATGACAGAAAGCCAGAATTGGGGCAAGCCAACAACTGTGCTCTGATTGAAAAAGACCATTCCTCCTGTGCTCTGAACTCCATATTCCAGCCTCAAAACCAAAGCTCACATCAGAAAATTCATTACAACCATGATAAATAAGAAAAATGAGAAAAAATCCAAAGAAATCTAAGAGTCCATAGTGATATTGGGCTTGATTTAGTCCCAAGGAATCCGGCTTTTTCCAGATTCATCCACCCCTCCCAGCAGACTGGGGGCTGAATGAATTCACCTGAAATTGCAGTCAAACTCGGTTTGGAGACAATTAATATATGTCCCCTCAGCAAAAGGATTCCATTTCTCTTTCCAAAACACAAAAACTCATCTTGGTCATGTTGGGTGTAGATTTCCAGCCTGAAAGGACAATTTGATGTGTTTTTTTATTTCATAATGGCTACTCTGCCAAACGCTAGATTGTATTGTTTCAGAATACTAAATTTGGGAAGGAAGAAGGCAAAAGCAACTCAGACCCAGAAAACATTTAGAAAATTGCAGCTCAAGAGAACAAAATTTGGTTGAGGCATCCAAAACAATGACAGAAAACCAGAATTGGAGCAAGCCAACAGCTGTGCCCTGATTGAAAAAGACCATTCCTCCCATGCTCTGAACTCCATATTGCAGCCTCAAAACCAAAGCTCACATCAGAAAATTCATTACAACCATGATAAATAAGAAAAATGTGAAAAAAAGCCAAAGAAATGCAAGAGTCCTTAGTCACATTGGGCTTGATTTAGTCACTAGGAAACCTGCTGTTTCCGGATTCATCCACCCCTCCCAGCTGTCTGGCTGTGGAAAACTCATTGAATTCACCTGAAAAGACAGAATGTTTATAAGTATATTGGGCCTGTGGAACCTGTCATTTACCAATCACATGTTAGACTGAATCATAGACCAAATATAGGGAAGAAATCCAATGCATGTAAACCTTGTGGGAAGTCATTCAGTATTAAATTCTGCCATACACTCCATCACAGCACTCATATAGTGGGAAACCCTCATGTGTGTAATGATTTTGGAGAAACCAATCAGCAGAAGTCAGATCTCATTAGACATCAGAGAAGTCACTCAGGGGAGACACCTTATGAATGCAATGACTGTGGAAAAACCTTTGGCCAGAAGTCCAACCTCATAAATCATCAGAGAAGTCACATGGAGATAAGCGTTTATGAGTGCAATGACTATGGAAAACTCTTTGGCCAGAAGCCAAAATCACCTCATAAATCATCAGAGAATTCACACAAGGGATACACCTTATGAATGCAATGACTGTGGAGAAACCTTTGGCCAGAAGCAAACCTCATAAATCATCAGAGCATTCACACAGGGGAGAAACCTTTTGAATGCAATGACTGTGGGAAAACCTTAGGCCAGAATTCAAACCTCAGAAAGCATCAGAGAATTCACACAGTGGATAATAGTTATGAATGCAATGCCTGTGGAAAAGCCTTTGGCCAGAAGCCACACCTCATAAATCATCAGAGAATTCACACAGGGAATCCGCCTTATGATTGCAATGACTGTGGAAAAACCTTTGGCCAGAATTCATGCCTCAAAAATCATCAGAGAATTCACACAGGGGAGAAACCTTATGAATGCAATCATTGTGGAAAAGCCTTTGGCCAGATCAACACTCACAAATCATCAGAGAAGTCACACAGGGGATATGCCTTATGAATGCAGTGACTGTGGAAAAACGTTTGGCCAGAAGTCAAACCTCAGAAAGCATCAGAGAATTCACACAGGGGATAAGCGTTATGAATGCAATGCCTGCGGAAAAACCTTTGGCCAGAAATCACAACTCAAAATGCATCAGAGAATTCACACAGGGGAGAAACCTTATGAATGAAATCATTGTGGAAAAGCCTTTGCTGAGAAGTCAGAGCTCACAAAGCATCAGACAATTTGTACTGGGGGGAAACCTTATGAATGCAATGACTGTGGAAAAACCTTTGCTGAGAAGTCAAACCTCAGAAAGTATCAGAGACTTCGCACCATGGAGAAAGCTTATAAATGAAATGACTGTGGAAAAGCCTTTGGTCCCATCCTTGCATACCCGGGATAAATCCCACTTGGTCTGGGTGGATGATCTTTCTGATGCATTGTTGGATTCAATTGGCCAGAATTTTGTTGCAGATCTTTGCATGTATGTTCATCAGGGAAATTGGTTTATAATTACTTTCTTTGTTGCACTTTTTTCAGGTTTAGGAATGAAGGTGATGCTGGCTTCATAGAAAAAATTTGGGAGAATCGCCTCTCTCTCAATTGTTTTGAATAACTTGAGAAGAATTGCAGTTAGTGCTTTAAATGTCTGTTAGAATTCAGCAGTGAAGCCATCCAGTCCTGGGATTTTCTTGGCGGCGAGGGTCTTTATTACTGATATCATTTCCATCCAGTTATGTGTGTGTTTAGGTTTTCTATATCTTTGTTGCTCAATTTAGGTAGGTTTTATGGATGGAAGGATGGTGGGAAGCCTCTTTGCTGTACTTCATAACTCATAAGATATCAGAGAATTCATACAGGGAATTTTCTACATGACCTTTTTGTGCAAGTTATATCTCATGAAATATTAGAGAATTCACCAAGGGGAGAAATGCATGAATGTAATACGTGTGAATAAGCCTTTGTGGTGCAAATCAGACCTCATCAAACATAAAAGAATTCTCATGGGGAGAAATTTTATGAATGTAATGACTCAGAGCCTTTTACCATAATTCAGCCCTCATTGTACATCATCAAATTTATATAGGGAAACCTCCTTTGAAAGTAAAATCCCTTTAATTAGAAGCCATACCTCATAAGACAACAGGGAATTCACATGGGAGAGAAACCTTATGGGTGTAATGAGTGTTGGAAAGCTCTGCCCAAATCTCTCCTTATATCAGCATGCACAACATATATATCTAATGAATGAAATAAATGTGAGAAAGTCATTTCACATAGGTAATGCCTCATAATCCATCATGGAATTTGAACAAGGGAGAGACCTTAACAATATAATGAATGTGGAAGAGCTTTTCTCCAAAATTCATGTAAGTATTGTGACAAAACCTTTTGCTGGAAATCACGTCCTATCCAACAGAGACTCATGTAAAGGAGAAAGCTTATAAATATTATTAGTGTGAAAAGATTGTCAGAAGTCAATGGTACATCAGAGAATTGACACAGGTGGTTTCTTAGGAGTATAATGATTGTGTAAAAACCTTTTCTTTATTTCAGGCTTGTATAGAAATAGAATTCACAAGAGGTGATATTCTTTGCATGCTGTAAATATGATAAAACCTTTAGCCAGAAATTAGACATCAACAGACTTCAGAGAATTCATAAGGAACAAAAGTCTATGCAATGAATTTGGAAAAAGTATTTCTGCTATAAATCAGTCTTCAATTCCCATGAATAGACTCACAAATGAGAAAACATGCATGCATAGAAAAGTTTTGTACCATAAATTATCTCTAGATGGTAAACTAATAACTCACACAAAAGAAAAATCATGAGTGTAATGGAATTGGGAAACCCTTTGCTATAAGGCAGATTTCCAGAAAGCTTAGCAAGATTACAGAAAAGTCTCTGAAAATGTAACACGTCTGAAAGATTTGTTGGCATCACAAAGTGGAGGATAGCTCAAGTGCATGTGTTTTTGTGACCTGGCATCCAAATTGATATCTCTTTTTCTTTGATGAATTCCTTGTTTATTTATTTAACAGATTTAGAGACAAAGGATTCCTGCCCATTGATTTACTACTATATGCCCACAATTGCCATGGTAAGGTCTATGGCAAAAACTGAGTGCTGAGGGCTGTGAATCTGATTCATCACTGATAACACTGAAGACATTGGTTCCTGGTTCTTATGCTGCTATGCATGGAAATGTTTTTCTAATTTCATTTTCAAGTAGTTCATTGTTAATATAAAGAAATGCTTCTAATTTTAAAATTTCATTTAAATAATTTGTGATTAATGTGTACTAGTCATGCATTATTACAGGGTGTAGTGCAATATTTGCACACATTTATGCAGTAAAAACTGATCAAGCTAAGAAACTATAGTTTTATTAATTTTTTAAAGATTTATTTATTTGAAAGAGAGTTACAGAGAGAAGTAGCAGCAGAGAGAGAGAGAGGTCTTCCTCTGCTGGTTCACTCCCCAGATGGCCGCAATGGCTGGAGCTCTGCCAATCTGATGCCAGGAACCAGGAGCTTCTTCCAGGTCTCCCACTTGGGTGTAGGGACCCAAGGACTTGGGCCATCTTCTACTGCTTTCCCAGGCCATAGCAGAGAGTTGGATCAGAAGAGGAGTAGCCAGGACTAGAACTGGTACCCACATGGGATGCTGGTGCTTCAGGCCAGGGCGTTAGCCCACTGTGCCACAATGCTGGCCCCCAAGCAACTACAGTTTCTAATTCTTCTCCATGATTTGAGACTATCATCTCCTCTCCTTCAGTTCTTTACACAGAACCTAATATGGTTGAATGTAGTCATCTCATTATATTATGGAACGCCAGAAGTTCTTTCTGCCTCTTTGTATTTTGTTACCTATTATCTAATCCCCCTCTATCCCTAGCTGCTTCCCTTCTCAGCCTCTAACAACCACAGTTCTCTGTTCAGATCCATTATTTTCTTTCACTTCCACATGTGACAAGGGCCAGGTGACATTTGTGATCCTGCTTCTGACTTATTTCAATTAATTTAATAATATTTTTGTTCTTTTTTGTATCTAAATGAAGTTCCCCTGTCCGTTTTTTTCATTGATCGACAGCTAGATTGGTTTCAAATCCTGGCTGCAGTGAACTGTGTTATAGTGGCTGTGTTATGGGAAAATTGCTGTATCTTTGATATGCTCTTCTCCTTTCCTTCTAATAAAATTTCCTTATTCTATATAGCCAAGAGCAAGATAACTCTCAAATGGTAGGTCAATTTTTATCTTTATTTTAAATTTTTGTTATTTATTTCAAAGAGTTACAATAGAGGTAGGGACACAGAGAGGTCCTCCATTAGCTGGTTCATTCTACAGATGACTACAAAGGTCATAGCTATACCATTCTGAAGCATCTGGGTCTCCCACATGTGTGCATGGGCCCAAGGACTTGGGCCATCTTCTACTGCTATCCCAGGAGATAGCAGAGAGCTGGATTGGAAGAACAGCAGCTGGAACTAGAACTGGCACCCAAATGGGATGCTGGCCCTTCAGGCCAGGCCTTTAACTCACTGCACAACAGCGCAGGCCCCAATTTTTATCCTTTTTAAGGCATGACCATACTGTTCTGCATAACATCTGTACTAATTTGTGTTTTCACCCACCATATATGAAGGTTTTCTTTTCCCATATGCTCTCTAGATTTTGTTATTTTTTATCATTTTGGCATAAAGATGATATAGTATTGTTCATGTTTTTGTGTATTTTGAAATCAGTTAATTTGTTTATTAAATCTTTGTTGATTTGAAAGGTGGATTTAGAGAGAGAGGGAAAGACAGAGAAAGCTTTCATCTGCTGACTGACACCCCAGTGCGTTTCAACAGTTGAACCTGGGGCATGCTGCAGTCAGGAGCTTCATCCAAGTCTCCCACGTGAGTGGCAAGGACCCAAGTCCTTTGTCCATCTTCTGCTGGTTTCCCAGGTGTTTAGCAGTGAGCTAAATTGGAAGTGGAGATTCCTAAACTCAAAGTGGAATTCACATGATATGCTGGCCTCACAGATTGCAGCTTACCCCACTTAGCCACAATGCCAGCCCCTCTATCAATTTAATTCCTCAAAAATAGATCAGTAATGTTGGCATCTATCTCATTTTGTTTTTCTCTGTTATTATTCAACTTATTGATGTCTTATTTTTGCTCACATTATTCCTCTCAATTGCCCTACCTGAGGTGATTAGGGCTGCTGTGTTGCTTAAATGCAGTATATGCTTTAGATTACTCATTTACTAAGTGCATGGCATTCACATAGCACTTCACTCAAGTTCTACTATGTCCCAAATCCTCTTCTAGGCACAGAATTCAGACCACTTTTCTCTTAGGCTTAGATCTTGCCTTTAACATACTACTTGGAATTTAGTAGCTCATGAAATCTACAGACTGCATAAATGAATGAATATTTTGAGGGCTGTGTTTTTGTGGAGGAACTTCATAGGAGACCGAAGGAATAAAATAAATCAAAAGTATCCACAGTATATAGAATGTATACTATTTTACAAGTCACAGAGAAGAGGAAGAAGAAGGAAAGTAGTGAGACTAGAAAGTTTGTGGGAAGACAAACAGGCGCTGGTCAAGAACTTAATAAGCCCATTAGGAAAGCAGTAAGGTTTCTTTACCTCCCTGTAGACTCTGCTCTCCAGAGGTGAACAGGGTCCTCTAAACGCACTTGCTGCACACACAAACACCTGAGTGTTGTATTCTCCCACAGGTGTTGGAGACTGATATGGTGTTCTGATTTATATTTACATAATGGCTAGTGACATCGGGCATATTCACATGTTTTGAGCATTTACATTTATTCTCAGAAATGTCTATTCAGATCCTTGCCTGTTTCTTCACTGTATCTTTTGGAGTTTTTCCAATTCATGTAAATGTTCTGGAAATCTGTAAACATTCAGAGTTTTAATTTTTCCTGACATCTATTCATTGTATCTACACTTTGATGCTTACTTTGTTGTGAAGAAGTATCTTAGTTTGATATACTCAAATGTCTCTGTTTCTATTTTTGTGACTATTGCTATTGGAATCTTACCAAAAGCTATTGTCTGTTGACAATATTTAGAGTTTCCCTATGTTTACTTGGGTTTGGGTCTTATTAGATTTTTAATTGACTGTGAGTTCACTTTCACATAGTGTAAGAGATGTCAGAGTCTATTTTCAGGCTTCTACATATGGATAATCAAGTTCCTCTGCACCACTTGCGAAAGAGATTTTTCTTTCTCCAGTTCATTTTAGTTCCTTTGTTAAATATGAGTTGCTGGTAGAAATTTGGGTTTATTTCTATGATACCTACTCTTTTCCATTGAACTATGTGTCTGTTATGTCAGTACTAACACTTCTTCTTCTTCTTCTTTTTTTTTTTTGCAGTTTATTTATTTATTTGAAAGACAGAGTCACAGAGAGGTAGAGGCAGAGAGAGAGAGGTCTTCCCTCCACTGGCTTACTCCCCAAATGGCCACAATGGCCAGAGCTGTGTTGATCTGAATCCAAGTGTCAGGAGCTTCTTCCAGGTCTCTATGCAGGTGCAGGGGCCCAAAGACTTTGGCCATTTTCTACTTTTTTCTCAGGCTATACTAGAGTGGGGTATAAGAAGTGGAGCATCTGGGAAACATACTGGCACCCATATGAGATGCCGGCACTGCAGAACGGTGACTTTACCTGCTTTGTCATAGTGCTGACCCCTGTAATATGTCTTAAAATATGGTGTGATATCTCCAGCTTTTTTTTGCTTTATAATATTGCTTTAGATGTTAAGCATCTCTCATGTTTCTATATGAATTTTAGCATCATTTTTCTAGCTCTGAGAAGAATATCGTTGGTATGTTGATTGGGATTGAATTGAATTTGCAAATTGCTTTTGGTAGTATGGACATTTTGATATTATTCTTCCCATTCACAAACATAAGTTTTCTGTGAGACTGTCAAAAAGCCTTGACAAAAATTGGACTTTATTACACAAAAATTCATCACTTTTTGGGATCATTTAAATCCATATTTTTGCACTAATATTTGATAAATAATGAAAGACTTTCTCTGAGCATTTTAGTAGGAGAAATTAAAATATTTATTTTATCAATTTCTTCAAATATTGTTTAGATGTGATATTCAAATATTGTTTAGAGCCATTGTCTGTATTCCCTCTAAATTAGGATCTTTTTGCTTTTTCCTGTAAAACTTCTCCCTTGATTCAACAACCCTTTTTAATGTAATGTAAACTGAAAATGTCATTTCATAAGCTAAAAAAATGACAAAGAAGGAAAAAGAAGGGAGGGAGGTTGAGTATATAATTATGTTCTCTGAATTTTTTCTATAAACTGTATTGAATCTTTTAAAAGCTAATTAAAATTAAAACTCAAAATTGGACCATTATGACCAATATTTAAAACAAGTGATTAAAAACTGTAGATGTCTTCAATTTTGATTATCATTCTTATTTAGAATGTCTGAAAAAATCCAGATTCTCACTTTAAAATATACCAGTGTGTTAGAATTCAGTATTAAATGACTTTGTTTAAAAGTGTTATTTAATCTATTGCTTTAAGTGGTAATACTATGGCCATTGTAAAACAAAATCCTTATCATTTTTCATAAAACAGAAAGGGCCTTTAAAACATCATCACTAAAAATATTAAGAGACCTAAAATATAACATTCTTAAAACCCAAGTGATACCATTCAAAATTTTCAAATATGCAGGGATAGTTCGTGTGAAATAACTAAATAATTGTTAAGTGTATATATGGAATAGCTTCTATAAATACTTTTGGCAAGGGCTGGCACTGTGGCATAGTGGGTGAGGCTGCCACCTGCAGTGCTGGTATTCCATAGGGGTATCAGTTCAAGACCTGGCTGCTCCACTTCCTATCCAGCTCTCTGCTACGGCCTGGGAAAGCACTATAAAATGGTCCAAGTCCTTGGGCCCCTGCACCTGCATAGGAGACCAGGAAGAGGCTCCTGGCTCCTGCCTTCCAGTCGGCACAGCTCCAGCCATGGAGGCCAACTGTGGAGTGAACCAGTGAATGGAAGACCACTCTCTCTGCCTCTCCTTCTCTCTGTGTGTAATTCTGACTTTCAAATAATATAAATAAATCTTTAAAAATTCTTTTGGCAAATAGATGAAGCTATTTGTTATACATTTCAAATAAATAACAAATATACTAGAAAAATATATTGAATAAAATTTAAGCAACTCATAGCTATACACAGAAATTTCTCACCATAACAACATAGCAACCACTAAATTTCCAAACTTAATTTTCCACAACTTGGAATCTTTAACTCCAGAAGGAGTACGAAATTGACAGAACAGTAGCCTATGTATCAGGATACCTAATGCTAATACAGAATTATCCCTGCTACAACTTACCTATGTGACCTTCAACAATTCACTTTACTTCTTTGGGCCTTGGCATTTAGCATCCTCACGTGTTAAAGGAGGCTTGGATAAGATCAGTTGTACTCTATCTTGAGACTTCAAGGATATCTCAGTTTCCAAACAGGCACCTTAAGGGAAAGTAAACCTTTAGATCAAAGCTTACATTTTTAAATATAAATAGATTTTAAACTGTTTCTACAACTAGTACAAAACAACACATTCAAATGTGTACCATGCCACTTTTCAATATTTGGGAATAATTAATGCATCATTTTAGAGCATTGTCTTGAGGCCAGTGCTGTGGTGTAGCCAGTAAAGCCACTGCATGCAGTGTGGGCATCCCATATGGAGGACTGTTCAAGTCCTGGCTGCTCCACTTTCCATCCAGATCTCTGCTCTAGCCTGGGAGAGCAGTAGGAAGTTGGCCCAAGTCCTTGGGCCCCTGAATCTGCATGGGAGACCCTGAAGAGGTCCTGGATCCTGGCTTCCGATTGGCATATCTCTGACCTTTTAGGCCATCTGGGGAGTGGACCAGCAGATGGAGGACCTCTCTCTCTCTCTCTTCCTCTTGTTCACTATCTGTGTAACTCTGACTTCCAAATAAATAAATAAGTCTTCTAAAATATCAAAAGAATATTGTCTTGCACACAGTGAGCCACTAAGTACAAGATATTATTAGTAATATTAGATTGAAATATTGAAATAAACTAGGCAATAAGCCTTAAGATGCAAATTAATACCAGGAAATATAATCTCAAATTTCTGTGTTCAACAAGGTAGTCTCTTTTTCACTACTAACTTTATACTGAATAAGATATTTTGATATTTTGTTAAGAGTAAATTTATCAGGGGCCAGCACCATGGCTCACGTGGTTAATTCTCCATCTGTGGTGCTGGTATCCTATATGGGCAAAGGGTTCTAGTCCTGGTTGCTCCTCTTTCAGTCCAGCTCTCTGCTATGGCCCGGGAAGGCAGTGGAGGATGGCCCAAGTGCTTGGGCCCTGCACCCACATGGGAGACCAGGAGAAAGCACCTGACTCCTGGCTTCAGATGGGCACAGCTCCAACTGTGGAAGGAAGACCTTTCTGTCTTTCTCACTGTCTATAACTCTACCTGTCAAAAAAAAGTATTAGTTTTTCATAAAAACTGCAGTATTGAAAAGGTTCTAAAATCCCTCTAATTCTAAATGTCTGTGACTGCTAACTCATTAGCACATATTGCATTCTTTACATCTGGGTAATCATGATAATTCATTTTTAAATGATTAACAAATCTGTTGTTATATATAAATACATGCTTTTCCGAAAATCATACAATAAGCAGGCTACATACTTTACTTCAAGTAAAACTGCCATATCCAGTCCTACAATTGTAAATAAGACAGTTTCAATTGTTCAGCATTATCAATTATAAATTCCAATAGCGTAGCAATAGCCATGAGAATAAAGGGGCCGATGCTGTGGCGTACCAAGTAAAGCTGTGACTTGCAGTGCTGACATCCCACATGGGTGCCAGTTGAAGTCCTGGCTACTCAAATTACTATCCAGCTTTTTAGGCAAGTAAGACTAACTATCCAGCAGTAGAGGATGGCCCAGGCCCTTGGGCTTCTGCACCTGCATAGGAGACCCAAAAGAAGCTGCTAGCTCCGGGCTTTGAATCGGCACAGCTCCAGCCATTGTGGCCAAATGGGGAGTGAACCAGTGGTTCAAAGACTGCTCTCTCTCTCTCTCTCCTTCTCTGTGTGTGTAACTCTGACTTTCAAGTAAAATAAATGAATCTTTTTAAAAAAGGATGAAATAAAAAGGAATATGAATATTATAAAATTGTTTAACATTTATTTAATAAATATAAATTTCCAAAGTACAGCTTTTGGATTACAGTGGCTTCCCCTACCACCTAACTTCCCTCCCACCCATAACCCTCCTATTTCCTGCTCCCTCTCCCATCCCAGAATATTACAAAATTGTATGAAGAATATTTGTACAGTAAACAAATATACTGATTTCTAATGTAATATTTGAATACTTGAAGCAGGAAGGCTAAGTACTTCTTTGCCAAAATAACATGTTTTCTCCAGTGTAAAACCCATTTGCCATCCCAATACACAAAGGGATTTGGGCAATAAGGAAAAAAGAAGTCCACACATGCAGAAATTTTAAGCAAAACGAAATAGAGAATGTATTTAGTTTTAAATCACATGAGAATTAATAGTATTCCACCAATTTCCAACAAATATTTTTAACTTTAATGAATGAATGAATTTTCAGTTACATACCAGAAAACTTCTACCCTCTCCCATAAAACTGAAAGAGAATCCTTTTTAAAGGAAAAACTGATGAAAGAATTCTGCAATACATGTTAATGTTAAGTAGCCCAGCAGAGTTTATTTAGAAATACAAACACACATACAGAAAATAAATGAATTAAAATCTTACTGAATAGTTCAGTAATAGTTCAGGATCCAATATAGTGTGCCAAAGATTCTGGATTTCCCAGTCACTTTGTATAGGAAATGATGTGCTTTGCTATGTAGCATGTAACTTTAGATTCCTGAACACCTCCACTTTGCTTCTTACCCTGAGTCCCAGCAAATACAGGAACACAGCTGTTGAATCATTCATTTTCTGGATTTGGGAATATCAAAGAATTAATGAGTATAGAAAGTTGTACAGCAGAGACCAAGACTATCCAAGGGAGGTCAGGAAAATCAATTGAACAAGTCAAACTACTATGAATGTATACTGAATGCTCTGTTTTTAATATGTCTTACTTACCTACAAAGACATGAGGGCTATTGCTCTCTCTCTTAATACAACTAAGGAGACGATACCATGAATGCTTGAGAAAAATGAATAGATAGCAGAGCTAATACAAAATCCCAAAAATCCAAAATAGAAAAACTGGATATGCACTCCTTACACACACCCTGAAGTGGCAATGAAGTAGAACAAATATGAAATTAGAAAAAATTCTTTTTCTTAAAGATTTATTTATTTATTTGAAAGTCAGAGTTACACAGAGAGAGGCAGAGAAGAAAGAGGGGTCTTCCATCCACTGGTTCAGTCCCCAGTTGGCTGCAATGGCCAGAGTTGTGCCGATCCAAAGCCAGGAGCAAGGAGCTTCTTCCAGGTCTCCCACATGGGTGCAGGGGCCCAGGACTTGGGCCATCTTCTACTGCTTTCCCAGGCTATAGCAGAGATCTGGATCCATATGAGATGCCAGCATTGCAAGTGGTGGCTCTACCCACTATGCCACACCGCTGGCCCCGAAAATTCTTGTCAAATTAAGAACATTTAACCTTTGTTTTAGAATGAATTATTAAAATATCTAATCTGGGGGAATACATAATTTCTTTCTTTAGAAATCAGAAGAGAAAAAGAACACTTCAAGGCTACTGTGACATCACACAGAAGAAATGGAGAATCATGACCTCAATTAGCCTAGGGACAGAATAAAAGGGAGGGAAATAGGAACAACAGAATTAAGATGAATAAGCTTTGACAGCTGAGAGAATCTGAATGTAAAGAAAAGGCATGCAGTTAACTGAAACAATAGATAAGTCTGAGAGGAAAAAACATTGTTAAGACATATTAATGGGGCCAGAGCTATGGCTTAGTAAAGTCAAAAAAAAATCTAAAATTTGTTTTAAATTATACAATTGCAAAAGATAAAGATGTTCAATATTAAGTCTCTACAGCATAAGATATACATCAATTTTCCCAGGTTGTATTTGCATTTATTAACAAAGTTTCATGGGTATAATCACTAGAGTGGCTCCAATAAGTCCTTTTATAAAAATTATTTTTTATTTTGACAGGTAGAGTGGACAGTGTGAGAGAGAGAGAGAGAAAGGTCTTCCTTTTTCTGTTGGTTTAACCCCAGTGGCCGCTGCGGCCAGTGTGCTGCGGCTGGCACACTGCGCTGATCCAAAGCCAGGAGCCAGGTGCTTCCCCTGGTCTCCCAGGCAGGTGCAGGGCCCAAGCACTTGGGCCATCCTCCACTGCACTCCTGGGCCATAGCAGAGTGCTGGACTGGAAGAGGAGCAACTGGGACAGAATCTGGCACTCCTATTAGGACGAGAACTCGGTGTGCCTGCGCCACAGGTGGAGGATTAGCCTATTGAGCCATGGCACCTGCCTCCAATAAGTCTTAACCTGGGATGCAACTAAATTTAACAAGGATATTCAATAGGAATTTTTGAAGAATTCCAAAATATATATCAGAATAAAAATAAATACTTTACTTGGTACATCTCTTTTTAACTATACTATTGTCCAAATTTCCAATTGTCAGATGTACTAAAAAAATCCCAGAAGCAGCAGAGTTGGTCCAACATGATGAGGTATAAAATAAAGTTTTTCAGTTTCAAATTGCCTAGAGAAAATGAGAATTCTCAGATCCCAGATTAAAATAACCAAGAAGCCCCAATAAAAGAAAACTCAATGTCTTCATACACTAACATTTATTACCTCATATTTATTTAACAAAAAGGCGATTATTCCAGCTATATCCCATTAGGTAGCCCAATTTTACCTGCTAAATCCAGCAAAAAAAGCACCTCATGATATATTACTAAAATCATATCGCTATATACCATCCACCATATCCACTGTACCTTATACCTAATGTTAACAGATCTGATGAAAATCAATAGATAAATGATGTTTCTTAACCAAGTGTGGCAAATGCATTTTGTTCAAAGTTTTTCCAAAAACCCCTGAGTCTCAGTTTGCCTTCACCTTGAAAAGACACTTCTGAGGTTTACAAATCAGTCCAGCTTCTTCGGGCCTTCCTCCAATGAAAGGGGATAAAATCCATCAAAATAAACTCTAGGCACTGTCCTTGTGCTCCCTGTGACTTTTTCACTCTAGGGTCTCACAAACCTTCTAAATTCTTTAGATCACCTGTGATGTCCATTAGTTCTCAAAGACTAAAGTTCCCCTCTTGGAACCTTGTTATTAACTGTGCTGTATGAGAAATGAAGTCTCCTACACACTTTGTGCTTACGATTCTCCAAACCATGTTGTCTGCTAGGACTTTGGCCATGAATATAGGACAGCAATACCTGAACATGATTACTGAGATCTCCTTAATAAAGGATAGACTGGGGCCAGCACTGTGGTGCAGTGGTGTAATCCTTTACCTGCAGTGCTGGCACCCCATATGTGCACCAGTTCTAGTCCCCATTTCTCCTTTTCCCATCCAGCTCTCTGCAATAGCCTGGGAAAGCAGTAGAAGTTGTTCCAAGTGCTTTGGTCCCTGCCAAAATGTGGGAGACCTGGAAGCTCCTAGCTCAGATTGGCCCAGCTCCAGACATTGCAGTCATTAGGGGAGTAAATGAGCAAATGGAAGAGCTTTCTCTCTGTCTCTTCCTCTCACTTTCTGTATGTACACCTGTCAAATACATAAATAACTTCTTTATATATATATTTACATTTGTTCATATATATTTATGTATATAAATATATTCATATATAAAATATATTATAATTTATCATATAATATATTATATAATAATTATTAAGATAATACTATAAAATTTATTATAAGTATTATATATATAATGTATATATATTATTTAGATGACTTCAATAGCCAGAGTGTGGCCAGGTTGAAGCCAGGAGCTTCTCCTCTGATGCGTGTGGCAGCAACCCAGGCACTTGGACCATCTTTCACTGCTTTTTCGATCCATTGGTAAGGAGCTGGATCAGAAATAATTATATATTTATATATAAATAATAAATTCATATATAATAATTATATATAATTATATATTTATAATAATTATATGTAATTCTATATTATGTATAGAAATATATAATATATATTATAATATATAAATATATATATGATGACCAAAATGTGGCATTCTCCATTTGGCAGAAGGGACAGGCTCCAATATCTACTCTCTATTTCAGTATGTCAGTATAATGCAGGAGGTAACCCCTCTACCAAATAAGAAAAGCTATTTCAGTTCAGCTGGACATCATTCTGCTGACTGTTGACCTTATTACTGTTAGTCTGGATGCTTTCATTGGTTGCAATCCAGAGACCCAATTTTCCCATAGATATAAACATCAGCAAACATGAAAATTTGGTAAGAAAAGCTTAAACTCAGAGTTATGATTAATAACTATTTTAACAAAATTTCTCAGAACCCATCTAATCCAAACCTTGGACAATTGGAAGTTGTTGTACTTGGCCCACCCATAATCGAAATGGCTTCTAAATCCTTCAACTGCAAGGAGAGTATCATAGACATTAATGCTCCAAACGGATCCAGTTCCCTGCTAATGTGTCTGGAAAAACAGCACAGGGTGACTTGAATATTGGGGCTCCTGCACTCATGTGAGAGACCTGGAAGAAGCTCCTGGCTCCTGATATCAGTCTGGCCTAGCCACAGTCATTGCAGCCATTTGAGGAGTGAACAAACCAGGAGGAAGATCAATCTCTCCCACTCTCTCTTTCTAGTGCTGCCTTTCAAATTCATAAATAGACCTTTAAGAAAGTCGATCACTTCAATAAATTTGTCATTGCTCAGTCATGATGACTTTTACTACCTTAAGTTCTTTTTCAAAAGATTTATTTATTGAAAAGGCAGAAAGAGGAGCTGGTGGTTGTGGTGCAGTGGACAAAGGTGCTATCTATAACACTGGCATCCTGTATGTGCACCAGTTCAAGTACCAGCTATTCCATTTCTGATCCAGCTCTTTACCAATGGACTGAAAAAGCAGGGAAAGCTGGCCCCAAATGCCTGGGATGCTGCCACGCACATCGGAGGAAAAGCTCCTGGCTTTAACCTGGCCACACTCTGGCTATTAAAATCATCTCAAAAATGAATTAGGTGGTGGAAGATTTCTGTCTCTCCCTCTCTCTGTAACTCTTTCAAATAAGTAATTAAATATTTTAATATGATAAAAAGGCAGAGAG